GTTCTCATCAACTGAAAAGTAGATCATGTAAAACTGCTCTACTTCAAAAGAGTGTAATAGTAATGGCTACGAAGGTATACAAAAAACTTCAACTTGAAATTAGGAACTGCAATGACTGTGCAGAAGTTGAGAAATTATTATTTAATTACCTAAATGATATGACATTCTATAATATTGAAGATTTCTTATAAAATTTATGTTTCATTAGTATTAGATTGCGTTAATTGGACTTTGGACTGCATGAGTATAATAATATTACAAATTATTGCATGTGAATTATTAAAACTAAGAAAACTTTGTGTGCCATGAGGCGGATCAAAATTAATTCTTGTAACAATTTAATAACCTGTGAACATTGACTTACAATTATATGGACGTCGGGTCCGCGCTAAAAACTGTCCGCACTTGTAAGGCGCTAAAATCGTATACAGAGCGCCAAACTCCGCTTTAGTCTTCATTTGTTCTATTGACAGCGCGATACTGCGATGACATTACAATTTAAATTTCGAATAGGTTGACTTGGGACATTTTTTTCGTGGTTTTTGTATTAGACCCGTCGTCCATTTATTTGTAAGTCAATGCCTGTGAATCACAAAGAAATAAATGATTTGATTTGATAAATAAAGGCTTAATTTAACAATGTAAAATTTAATTATCAGTTTTTTTATACGAAGCTAGTATAACTATTCTTGACTTCAGATTTATTACCACAACAGTTACAAACAAATATTTCTGGTCTTTTTTGTATCTGTGGATACTCACATCTATAAACGTTTTTATTATCATTCTCCCTTTGGTTATCATTGACAATAGAAAAACGTTGTACCGAATCACCACCAGATAAATAATAATTACTCGTTTGGCAACATTGGAAGTTTTTTAGCTTTTTCTCCTGAGATGGAATATTCCCCTCTGATTTTTCCATCTTGATAAGATTATTCGAAACACCAGTTTTTACGACTGGCAACACTCTGGGCCCGCTTCTGACTAACGGCCTGTTTGATTCACTCATTTCATGATAATTTTTTCGTACAGTTGCAAACATTCTATTCACTTCTTCAACAGCATCTTTCGATTTAATTTTCTCTGTGAGAGATTTTTTAAGCTCTTCCATTTTCATTTGAGGTATAGACGAAGATTTATGTTTAGACAGATTTATATGTGATTTCCCACTAACATAAGGTTGATGACAATCAATCACAGAGAATTTGGAATCGTCTTTGAATCTATCTTCACATCTAACAGAGAAACTGAAAATTTTACTAATCTCCAAATTGACGTTCGAAGGTTTCTTATGTTCAGTTAAAACGGCGGCGTCTTTAACTAATTTTTTACAATCAACTTTTTGAGTTTGAAACACAGTTAACACTTCGTTCAAAAGGTTAAATCCTTCACTGATATCAGTTAGGGATGTTTGCACTGTTTTACAGTTAATACTGGAACTGTCTTTTTTAGGAGTACATTTCTCGATACAAGTTTCCAAGTTTCTTTGACAGACTGGACAAGATTTTGTTTTTCTTCTGGGGTCTAAATCGTCTCGATCTTCTTTAGGAGAGTTCGTGTTAAGGCAAATAGAACAAATGAATCTCGAATTGTGATTGCGGTTAGTCTGACTGTTTCTGTTTCTACACATTACACCATCGGTCATCGTCCGCTGGTCTTTTGCAAAAATATTTCTTTTAAAAGTAGTTATTTCGATATTCACTCTCTTATAAGTTTTATTGTCGATGTATGATAGCATATGAAGATAATTCTGGAATCACACAAAAATTTTAGAAGAGGAAGAAAATGGCGTTAGAGATGGTTTGTTAACAGCCACTGTGGCCGAACGGTTACCATGCCGGACTACCACGCAAAGATCTCGGATTCGATTTTATTACATTTATTTCTCTCGTGAGTTCGGGTGTAACTTATGGTTGTCTATGTGTGAGTCCATGACACCTGTAATTCAGGGTTTCCCTATTGCAGGGCTATGAGTGTGCACGCATTATTATTATCATTGTTATAGTTAGTGTTGTTTGGAAGATTAATTATTTATTCGATATTGCAAGTGGGCTCACAGAGCTTATCCAAAACACCCACAAGCTTGGATAAATAAAGAAACAAGATTAGGATAGAATTAAAATTATTAATACAATTTAACTTACAAATGTCAAAACTTTTAATTAATATCCTACAAGTAAAAGGTAATCATTTAAGTCTGTAATTTAAAAGCCACGATAGCCCAAAATGGTTTAGTCTGAAGCCTTTCAAGCAAGGTCCTGGACTCTTTTCTGGACGAAATTTGAAATTTTGCGACCATGAGCTTTCAGTAGAGGAAAACATGCACGAAGAAGGGTTACCTATCAGAAGTTCGAAATGACATTTTCCATAAATAACGTTCGCTCGAATTTTCATAACTTCGAAGGTAATTTTGAGAGGAAAATCTTTATTCTTTTAAACCTAACTTAACCTTACCTAATAGTTAATAATAATAGCGATAAACATCCAACATATCCTGAAGGAAGTTCGGTTTTCGGGATAATGAAAATTCGAACAAACGTTATTATTATTACGTGAAGGTATTATTATTACGAGTAGCAGTAGAGCTCCTTGTGACAGAGTTCGTCCATAGAAGTACTGCCACCTTACACATTTCTGCCGCCAAGCAGTAATGTCAGCACCGGTTTTGATGTCTCAGGGTGACGGGCGCAGTGCAGTGCCCCTCAGATCTTTGCGATTTAAATGAGTGGCACTGGGACTGTTATGGACAGGCGTGCAGCTTACCATCAGGCGTACGACTTGTTCGTCCCGTCACTTGATATTATAAAAAAGAAATCGGTAAAAATAAATTCGAGTTTGTGACAGGTTACCACGAAGTAGGTTCACAACCCTGGGAAAACGTGTGAAGTCCCGAACCCGCTTGGGCCACCGTGGCGGCCGAAGCCCAGACCTAAGAAGAGATGTGCTCTGCAGTGTCAACGTATAAATGGGTTGATGATGATTTTTGAAGTTATTTATTCATACATTAGTAGCAGTAGAGCTCATTGTGAGAGTTCGTCTCAGGGAAGTACTGCCACGTCACCTATATCTGCCGCCAAGCAGTAATATGAACATTACTGCTTTATTGTTTTGAACCTCGTACATTACAAAAATTCCCGCGCCCGTATCGTTTCTGCGGCCGCCTCTGTGTGGCCTGAGTTTAACGATGCTGGTAAATTTTTTTTATTTTTATTTTACCAAGTGACAGGACGAATAAGTCCTGGGCCTGGTATGCGACACTCTTATATCCATAACAGTTGCAGTGTCATTCAGATGTTTAAATCGCAAAAACCTTATGGATACTGCCACAGAGCCCGTCATTGTCAACCTGAGAGATAAGTTGACAAGTCCCATGCACCTATAATTTCACCAGCATTCTTACCTTTCCAATTTCAGGCACATGGGATTTTTCAACTAACGTTTTAGGCTGATGGGCGTAATGGCAGTGCCCCTCAGATTTAAAGCTCTGAGTGATACTGCAACTGTTATGAATGTGAGTTGGGTCTTTAAGTGGGAGGCTATGTCCGGACATTGTCACAGGACACTGCTACTTGGCATCTCCGGCACTAGCCCGGAGAGCTAGTAGAGGATGAGCTAGACATCTTCCGGTCCCTCCGGCCGCGTAGGAATTTGGGAACTGGAGAGACGCCGTTCACTCGGCGTCGGGAAGTGAGCGTGCCTTACAGCTCCGCCACCAATGAGGAGATTTGGTAGTCGACTTAGAGTCGGCGGCTCAGCGGTGGCAACCGCTAGTCGTGCGGAACGTGACGGGAAGTGCGCGTGTCTACAGCTCCGGTACCTATCTGGAAAATAGGGAGGGTGCTGTACGTGCACCCGGGGCGGCTCACCTAAGGCACTAGCCTAGCTAAGGCACTAACACTACAGAGAACCGGATGAAGTCCGCGCTAACGTGCCGATCCGGGGTTAGGGCCAGAGTCGCTCGCACAGGTCATAGTCCCTTCCCGCATAACCAAGAGGTTGACAGGGAGGGGCACTATAAACAAAACTTATGAAGATATGGGACTGTCATGAGCAGGCGTGTCGCTTACGACCAGGCGCATGATTTGTTCGTCGTATACCCAATACCCAGTCTTCTTGTAAAGAAGAAGCAGAAGAAGAAATGCCAATAATAATGGCAAAGTGGCGTTAAAGATGGTTTGTAATTATAAAGTCCTCGGTACCTTAAGGATTCAGTTAGTGGTCTGGAACTTCAAGTATATCCTAATAAGTTCAGTGCTGCCCTTAAGCAATGCTGATGGCGTCACAAATTACTCTTGGTCTGCGTCGACCTTTATATGCATTATTTTTGTTTCACCAATGTATAATAATAGTTAAAATACTTTCAAAAAACGATTTAAAATAAAAAAATATATATATATTAAACAAAATTCGTAGACAAAATAAAATTAATAGCAAAATTTACAAAATTCGTAAAACACGAAAAATGCTAAGTGTCAAAGTTTTTTTTAATATTCAAAAAAATAACGCAAACATAATAAAGCTAATGTTACGAAGAAGAATATATCTTTTTTTTATGTTCCAAGGTACCACAAACACGAATTACTTTTTTTTCCACTTCAAAAAAGGAGGAGGTTCTTATTTCGACTGTATTTTTTTTTTGTGTATAATATATTACGCGATTACTTCGACATTGGAAGTTCTCCGCGGTCGAGTGGCTTGCACACCGGTGTCGCGGGTTTTCATGGTGTCGTCCTCTCCGACGTCGCGGGTTTGATCCCTGGCCGGGTCAGTAGAAAACTAACTTTTCTATATTGTCTCGGCTCTGGGTGTTTGTGGTACCGTCGTTATTTCCGAAATCCATAACACAAGTGCTTACCTTGGGATCATAGCAACGTATGTCATGTTGTCTAATATTTATAAAAAAAAATATATAATTTAATTATAACATTATATAAAATAAATATATTTTTTTACTTGTTAACCGATTTCGATGATTCTTTTTTGCTGGAAAGGATAGTGATCCTATTTAAATTTGGAGAAAATATTCTACCTCGAAGGGTGGCAAATTGCATTTCAACCACTTTTCAGTAACCGATTTCGATAAAAATTTGCATATACTTGTAATTCCAATGGAAAGAAAATGTTATAGTGACCTAGAGCTATTCTGATGATGGAAATAGCTTGTCATCAGTAGTTACCATCATTTCCCATTTACATGGCACCATTAGAACTCTACTTTAAAATCCAACTTCGACTTCCTAGGTCAGTAGTTTTGTCTTACGATGTAGTAAAACCATTTCCGGAAATCCTGAATTCGAAAAAGTACCTAATTAATGAACATTTGGAGATTTTAACAACTGTATGTCTCTCCTTGTAGCTATAACTATACATGTATTTAAACACGTGGAACACCTTTTTCCGGCCATTGGTTAAGATAAAGGTGGAGATGAGAGAGAGATGAGAGAGAGAGAATAAGAGGGCAGAACTATTTTTTTTTGTAAACACCAATCGAACTAAATGTTTTATCTATGCCATATGCGTACTTTTTTATAAATCCAGTAATTCTGGCTCATTATATTCTTTTTTTTAATATGAAAATAATTTTGACTGACAATCTCATCCAGCCTTATAACCAAATACTGTTAATTAAAAATTCAAAAGTCAACTTCATTACTAATTAGTGAAAAATCATTTGTGAATTATTTTTAATTGTGTATTTCTTTAGAATTGTTTGTTAACTTGAACATTTTGTTTTTAAATTAAGAGGTATTATATAAATTAACCGCATTTGTTACGACAGTGAGGTATTTTAAACTACAAGAAAAGCCCTAACTGTACCACACACTAAAGACCAAACTTTTGAATTTCTTACTGTTTGTTCTTAGATCAACCTGTTCCACAAATGATTATAAATAACATCTTGAAGGTTTCAAGTGTAACGTGTTCACTGTACAAATAATTCTTTATTTTAACTCCGCAGGCACAGCTGAACATGTTGAATCTTCGTCGAAGAAGATAAGTGCCGAATTTAGTGTTGAAAATTATTTCATTTTCCAGTTTTGAATATAAACAGTTACTTAAAAATTTGTAACAACAATGAGATCTGCACAAAAGCGATGAAAGAAAGCAAAGGCGTGTATGTGACTAAAAAAGATATAAGGCAGAATATAAACAGAGGTTCCCACTTACATGCTAGCAGGTAAGTGAAGATTTTTATAAGTTGATAGGTCAATCCCTCCCGAGATAATGAAATTTAAACAATAAAGCAGGGTTGGAAGTGACAATAATAAAATAATATCATTGATTTAAGGAACGCTTGCGTCCGATCGAACCCTCCCGATCAATCACGGACGGGTTAATCGATCATCATAATAGCTCCATAGCGTACTGTCCATTACATGGTAATTTTGTAAGTAGATCTACAGGGTCACTTATTGGATAACTATGAAACAGAATACTAAATAAATAATAAATATAATAATATTAAATAACCTTCAAATGTATTAAAAAAACCAAATTAATGACATTCCATCCTTATCAAAAACAGCCAATAGACATAAATTTCAAATTTAATAATGTAGTCATAGAAAAAGTAAGTAACGTATCGTGGCTTAGTTGGTATAGCTTCTGCCGTCTGGCACGGTAAACTAGAAGACGTCGGTTCGAATCCGGACGGATCGAAAGAATTTTTTCTGAGTGTTCGATCTTTGTATTAATAATTATAATAAACTAGTGGAATAATTTCACAAAATAATTATATCAAAGAATATCAATTGAATAAAAATTTAAAATACAGTGAATAGCGACATCTCTCGCCAGGGCTGGTAACGATATGTAAAGATATCTAACTGGGTGATAAAACTTTCGTAGATTTCTCATAGATGGCGCTACGACTAAAAAGTCGTTGAAAAAACCAAATACAAAGATACGACGCAAGCACATAAAAAAATTCGTGAGGTCCGCTGGTTCGTTCCGTGGCTTAGTTGGTATAGCGTCTGCCACGGTATGCTAGAAGACGTCGGTTCGAATCCGGCCGGATCGAAGGGTTTTTTTATGAGTGTTCGATCTTTGTATTAATAATTATAAAAAAGTAAGTAATTTCACTTTGCTGGGAATGGTCATTGATACTAGAATCAATTGGAAGGCGCATACCAATAAAATAAAAACTAAACTATCAAGTTTTGCATATGCACTTCGTGAAGTTAAAAAGACCACAAACATAAAAAAGGGCGTGGACTATGTACTACGCGTATGCATATGCGTGTCTAAGCTATGGTGTCATCCTATGGGGGAATAGTGTGCGTAAATGCTCCAAAAAATGCTCTTTCGACTCCTAGTCAGTATTAAACAAACCTATAGTTGTAAACCTTTCTTCCAGCAACACAAAATTCTCACTCTACCGTGTACCATGCATACTGGAAATATGTAGGTTACTTCGAAAAAACTTAGATTTGTATACAAAACGAGAAGATATTCCAACCAAATGTTTCTTTCGTCATAAGGGTAGATTAATACCACCAACTTCGAAATTGACATTGCACTCGTGTAGTCAGTTTGTTATGACAATAAAAATGTACAATAAATTACCTAAATTAATAAAGGAAGTCTCTGACGTTAGCGAAATCGTCGCGCAAAACGACGGAGCCATAGATACAAAAGTTGAAACTTTTAATAACAAAATGTTACTTATACAATTCATAAATATTCAGAAGATAAGAATAATATTATGTACAATTAATTACATAAATACAAAAATTAAATAAATAGTACAGATACATTCAACAAAGTATTTATTATAAAAGAATTATTAAACTTACGTAATGAAATTTTGTTAGCTTATTAAATATAAGAATGTAATATTAAGACGTAATTAAGGAGAACGTGCAGCACCCGGACAAACCAATGTAGGTTTAAGGGTGTGATGTATATATATTTTTGTAATATTCTTAGTGTTTAAAATAAATAAATAAAAAAAAAAAAGAAAAAAAAATGAAATTTAAATAATGAAATTGTAAAATGTTGTAAAATTAATAAGTACTGGTTTTAAATTTTTAAACATTTTATATAACTATAGAGTAAGATAGATTTATTGATTAATTTAGAGTTTTTTTCTTCTTCATAATAATATGCATAGTCAAATTTAATTTAATAATTTATTTAAATGTTTAATTTGCCTTATTTTTGTAATTCAATTTAAATTTAAATTTAACATGGATTAATTTTATTTATTTTTTGCATGGAAACAAATAAATTTAATTTTTAGGATTGCAGCGTCCCTGTAGGGTTCATGTTTGGTTCATAACAACATTTTAAAAAACTACAAATGTATAACATGATACGCGATAAAGAATTTGAATTTGAAAATGTAGGAAAGTATCGTGAGTGATGCGAGACCCGTTTAAAGGATCGTCACATTACGCATGAGTCATGATTTGCCCGGGTCACCAGGATTGATCAATCGACACACTGCTGTGCTTACGATAAGAACAGTAAGTCTATGTGTATTTCAAACGTACATTTACTTTACTGTTAATATTGTTAGCACGGTAGCAGAGGTCTAATTAAAAGTATACCTTAATAGTTTAGGTATAAAGCTAATTTGGGTTAGCTTTAACCACGCTTTGACCTTTTGACCGCCACTGACGAAAACTACGTTCATTCCGTTGACGCCAAGCCTATATAGTGATATGACATGTTATGAATATTCACATTATATTAATTCAATTCTCCTGAGTTAAAGAAGAACATAACTGAACGTACTCGTAAAACGCAAATATGAATCAATACTTAACTAGAATGTGCAAATAAACCAAGGAATACATTAATAATTATTTAATAATTTCAATTGAACATTGGCATATCAGCCAAGTTAATGTAAGACGCTTTAAAGCGTTCACGGTGGTCAAGGGTTGAATCGCAAATATCTGAAGGGCTGCACTACTACTGCGCCCGCCATCTTGAATATAATGTAGCAGTATAATAAAACATGTATGATAACTCCACAAAAACATAACTGCGCGACTCGTACGTGTATACCCCCGCCTCGCTGCCGCGCTCCGTGCACGGACGCACACATTCGCATAATCTTGTGGTGGTCGCTTGCGCTTTTATTATACAGTTGAAGCGTTCTGTTATAATACAACCTAATATATGGCTAAGAATTTTGCAAAGGTTGATATTTTATTACAGCCGTATTTTTCCAAAAGGCAACGTTCAAATTTTGATCCTTCGAGTGAAACTTAAATCGAGTCAGTTAGCAATTGGCACTCGTGAAGAGCGGTACCACATCGCTCCGGAAATCGGGAAGCAGGCAGTCATTGTTAAGTGTAATTCTCAATAAATCAGGTGTTAGGAAAATTAGTATTTTTAAAAGACAAATTTGAACGCGAAAGTTTTCATGTCGAATAAAAGCGCCCTCAGTTCGCTCTGTGTTTAAAAAATTACATCGAGTAGTAGACATATTTATTGTTCTGTTGAATAAGAGTGCCTCAAATTCAGAATTGTTCAGCATTTCATTTCTATTTCATAATCGTACCCCCATAATCGAGGCACCAATCCGAGATTCTGGTATAAAATAAATCAATACGTAGGTAAGTAATGCATTAACAAAGATTTTCAATAGAATACAGAAATGAACACCTTATATTTTTTTCCAATCACGAGTATGTTTACAACCTGTAGGTACAACTAAAATATGACAACCCTATGCTCCGAAGGACGCGCACGCATTGACCACAGACCTGCCGTCCACTAACTAAAACGCGGGCTAAGTGACAAATGGTCAAATATCCGTTTTAAATAGCAGGAACTAGAGCACAAATTTGTTTGATCTAAAACATTGTTTGATCTAAATAGATGCCGCAAGTACCGCGATCTGTATGAAAACCAAGCGTGGCACATATATTGTACCTCTGATGACGTCACAAGCGCTATTTAGTGATAGGAAACCTCCTTCGGCACTAAAGCGATTGATTAAATCGAAGACGCGGACGCAGCGTGTATTTAGAATAATGATTCTTCAAGTATTTGTTGATCATAAGAAGTCGTGCAATATTAGTGGGTATAGTAAAATAATACCAGAATATGATAATTAAATGAAAATAATATTTTTAAAAATAAATTATGCATGTTCTGATTACAAAATTTCTTAACTGTGGAAGGAAACGTTTACTTATTCATAGCTATGGTATTTTTGCAGTTTCTAATGGCACAGTTACGGATTTTTCGCGTTTTCGACTGATGTTTAATTATGAGAACGGCTGGGCGCGTTCTGAAGCGTTGCAGCGGCAACTATAGTATGAATAGTAATTACAGTAGTAAATTTTGAAAACTATTTTCAAAGCAGTAAATTTTGAAAACTATTTTCAAGCTCTTCAAGCTGTATTGTTTACATTTTGGACATCTACACTAGCGGTACACTTGCGGCGTCTATTTAGATATAGGTTGTCTGTGGCATTGATGCACCGAACAGGCGGAAGTTGCCCTGCTTGTCTCGTTATACTATGGACCTGGAAGAACTCTTTCATAAGGAGGTCTACATCTATATTTGTTGCTTCCAGAATAATAAATAATGAACTTGGCGAGGGAGAGCAACGTTCATTCGACGTGGGGATCCAATACAATAGCAAGAAAGATAATTTGCTCGTGTGCACGTGCAAGAACTATCCCGGTATAAGAAGGCAGCATGAGGCCAGATACTTCAGTACCACGCGTAGACAAATTTATACGTACCCGAACATGTAAGTGTATTGTAATGCAATTAAATAGAGTTTCGCGATTTAAATATCTTCTGGCTTCTGGGTGTCGGGAGAACCTCACGGATAATGAGGACGTCGAGAGAGCGCCGGGCGTTGACTGTTAATACGTTGGCACGCAGATTTGCACGCTGTTAAAGTGGTACTTTTCAAAGTATTTTGTCAAAACTTGTAACTGTGGGTCAACTGTTCGCTGAAGACAATTAACGCCCTGCGCATTCTGTACAACAACGCTTTTAGGCCTTATTCAGAATGGCGGCGGGCGCGGGTGCGTCTAAATCATATACGCAGACGCTTGTTGCGTTCACAGTGGCCGCGCGTATTGGCTCGGTCCGCCCGTGCCTTTCACAGTGCCTGGTCTAACGTCTGTTTGCGATTTCGACATGTGGATCTACCCGCTCGTAACCGTATCGGCTCTTTGAAAGAGGATACTGGGGTTGCCGCGGTACTGCAGTGCATTAGGCATGTTCCCAGAAGCTCACACGGATGGCTTCCATGCTATTCTTATAAAGATAGATACCTCGTTAGTAAGCAGTATCTGTGGCAGCTTAAATGATATTCTTTACGTTGTGGCTGGCAGGGTTGACTGCCTTCAATCATATTGCAATCAATCACACTTCATTGCACGAGATTGAATTCGCGCTTAATTTAAGGATTTTGGTAGATCCTGATGGGGCTCCGTAAAGTATAACTGTACAACTTTTGTAAGTTTATGGACTGTATTTGTCTGAAAGAAATTAATTTGAAATTACACAGATTGGAATTTCGTTACTTTGATAGAATAAAGCCACATGCAATACATCAGAAGTGCTTTTAACACGTGAACGTCATAAAAAAACAATACGAACCACATGAAGCATACTTATATGAAATTTTAAAATTCTCCTATTTCGGGGAAAAGGGGATACCCATTATCCCCTTTTCCCCTAAAAAGGAGAATTTTAGAATCACTTAAGCAATTTTTGTAATAACAATGGAATTACAAACAAAATATTTATTGCTTTATAACAAAATCAACATATTAAAGTAATAGTAATAATTAAGAGATTAATACAAATATCGAACACTCAGAAAAAATTCCTTCGATCCGGCCGGATTCGAACCGACGCATTCTAGCTTACCGTGCCAGACGCTATACCAACTAAGCCACGGAACGAACCAGCGGACCCCACGAATTTTTCTATGTGCTTGCGTCGAGTCTTTGTATTTGGTTTTTCAACGACTTTTTAGTAGTTAATTTCCCAAAAAATAATTGAATATCAATTCAATAAAAATTTAAAAGTAATAATTAAGATTAATTTCAATCATTTTGACTTTATAATTTAGGATAATACTTAAAAAAAATGTTGACCGCCATTGCCCTTACGTGTTGGCAATTATGGTCATCTATTTGAAATTAGGGTTAAATAAATATCACAAACATAGCCCTTACCGGAGTCACACACAAAGTGCATTAGTACCATATTTCATTGTCTTGTCCGAATTCGTTGCATATTATGATCGAATTCATTCTGGGTCATCATGCTAAACAATGGGTTAAGATTGCAGCATTTCAGCTGCTTTTAAGACTTCTTCAGTGAACACGTTGGGGTTCAATGGAAAAATACCAGCCACCCTAAAGCCAGAGTGTCCCTGACTCTCAGTTGTCTTCTAATGATCTGTCTATAAATAAAAAATGTCATCAAAAAGTTCCAGAAGGTAAGTGGAAAATAAGTAGGAAAACACGTCTCTCAATGCCAGCTTCAATATACATCAAATTTTCAGTAATATACATAATGAAATGAGTCACATACCTTCGATTTTATATCGCTCGAGAACTAGATCAATGGGGAGCTATGCCTTTACACGTTAATCTACACGCTCCAACGCAGATCTGCATTTGGTAGTAGGTAAGTTCAAACGTGCAAGCGGTCTCCCCGGCGACCCACATTTTCTCTTGTCACTGCACAGAGCTGTCACCGTTTTCAGAGCAATCTATTTAAATATTTTTATTTTTATACGAGAGTAAAATCTGATGAAAAGGCATGGAACACAAGTTGTTGCTTATCATGTTAGTAAGCCTGCGAAACTATGCATAAGGGTTAAGTCACACTGAAAGAACAGCGACCGGAGGAGCACTTTTGGTGTAAAGTATTTTTAGGCTTAACTCACATTGGCGCAGAGTCGAAGCGTCGCGTCGCGTCCTCTTTTTCGACAACGCGCGACGACGCTCGCTTTAGCGCGCCTAGATCACAGTGATGGATCAGTAGTGTGATTCACGTAAGTTTAAGCTATCTAAATATCGTTGAAGTTAGGTAGTCGTTCGATCGAAGTCCTATCCAAAATCACGATTCAAGAATCAATTGAACGAATGTTGATGTAAGTGGAATCGAAACGTAACGACTAATGAACGACATTTTGGATTGTGAAATTTGACATTTAGTCGTCGAAAGTCTATTGAAAGAACTGTCAATATTTTAGCAGAATACGTGTGACTTGTCGTTTAGAGTCGATTTAGGCTTGATTCATATACCAGAATACGCTTTAACGACATTTGGATCGAACGACGTTAAAATTGGACTCGTTGACGTTCTTTGTCACACGTGAATACGAAAAAGCAGTTTAACGTATAAACCGCTACGATGTCGTAACGGTTTGATTACGTGAGTCACCCCCCACGTTCAGAGACGTTTGAACATTCGTGAATAGTGCTCGTGCTCAACAGTATACAATGGTTGATATCGATCCTATTATAATTGCCCTTATATCTGAAGCTGAAGAGGAAGAGACTGAAATTATATCAGAAGCTGAAGGGAGAAAAAGAAAACGGAAATTTTGTGGTTCACGAGTTATGGAAGAAAAGACTTGGCGAATTCAAAACACTATGTAGTAACGATTTAAGCCGGGGCTCAATTGTTTTTATGATTATTATGTTATATAGACATTCATATTTTTGGATTAAGTAAATTAATTTGTTGTCTTCATCCATTGTCGCGCACTCGTCTCGTCGCAGTTCGGCACTGTGTCTGGTGTGGTCACGTTCAAATTGATTTGATGTGATAGAATGTGGGTACAGTGCGGCAGCTGTGAGCAGCTGCGAGACTCGCGAATCTTGCAGCGGCTGTTCAAGGAGGCATTGTGCTGGCACCTCCGGCCGCTGCTCTATCAGTGTGACTTAACCCTAAACGTGTTCGCGCACTGCACCCGAACTCGGACTCACTTCGGATGTCGCTTGCGCACTAAGTCCGACTCAAATCTGAGTAAATACGCGTATCGCTAAAACACCTAGAGATAAAATGATCCCTGTGAGATTCCGGACCGTCATTTCTCGGATTCGGAGCTGATACGAGCCGGACGTAGAGCACAAACGCTCTAAATATTCCTTTTTTCAGATCTAGAAGTATAACAGAAATAGGAATCGGGAGTGTAAAGACGTTACCAAAGAAAAAAGTGAAACGAGTTCATCTTCCCGAGACCGACGACAGAGGTGTTGGGTGCACTGATCTCTGTCCATACTACGAAAGCATCAATAGTACGCATATCTAAAATTATCGAACATTTATTTTGTAATTCAATAGTTAACACCTAATCACCTTTCGGAAAACATTAAATAGCCCCTTTACTTTAAGTGTCGCGGGTGCCTTGGACATATACATAGACAACTACAAATTACACTACACTCACGAGAGAAATAAATATAGGCCATACAAATATTTCTCCCGACCCGGGACCTCTGGGTGGCAGTCTAGCACGGTAACCATACGACCACCGAGGCAGTTTTACTAAACAGGTAAAATTACGCTATTTAAAGCATACAGTGCTGTGCACGTGCAGTCTGTAGGTTGCATATTCGCAGCGGTATCAAGCAAAATATCTTAGTTACAATTGTTCGAAGTACATTCCCTACGTGTTCTATAGCCGTGGGATGCTCTAAATATTACGAACCGGCCTATAGATTAGAAGTCATCCCAGCTTAGGAGTTTGGCTGCTGTGGTGGACCTCGGCAAAATTGTCAGCGAGCACCACAGTAAAAATTCAACTTAAATATAAATACGTGAGGTACCTCACGTATCCGTTACTTTAGTTAATATGCCTGAGTCTTACGGTAATTTTTCATTTAAAAGTGCTAGTTTCCGATCTAACGGCGGGTACGTAACGCTTTAGCCGTTCTCAGCCATATCGGTGTAGGTCTCATTCAGTTTCTGCCACTTCTCTCGGTTCTGTACCACCGTATCCAACTCAACTCCTTTATGTAATCCTTCCAACGCATCTGCGGTTTCCCTCTGGGAAGTTTGTGTCCCTCTGGGCGTTTTTCACCCAAAGGTCGACATTCGAGGACCGCTTTACACCAGGAGCACGCTTTCGAACAACGTGACCCGCCCATCGCCACTTAAGGTTCGTTACGCGTTTGGTGACATGTACTACTTTGCTTTCCTGTCTCAGCCACGTATTTCTTTTGCGGTCTTCGTGTGTAATTCCCACCAGTTTCCTCTGTAATGCTCTCTGGGCTACATGTAATTTGTGAATAATGAAACCCTTCAAAAATATGACTACGTAACACTACACAAAATATACGCGGTCAAACGGAAATAATATAAGTTCTATAAGATTTCGTGTAAAATATAAGTCAATTTTCTGTTACAGAAAAACCGAGATACAATAAAGTGCCAAGTTATTATGACAAGAAGAGGACGTCATCAAAATGTGTGGGAGGGGTTGTAGAGAATACTGTAGAGAGCTTCGTAAGTGCCAGAGTGTCGCCCATAATAATTACGAAATCAGGAACCACAAGTCCTAAAGAACAAATGTCTAACAAATTCAGCAATATAGAATTGGGAACGAATACTATAGAAAAGATATTTGTCACTACTACAACACAAATGGAAAATGATCTTATAATTGAAAGCAAAACAAAACCTTCCACTACAGTAACAGTCATTGTAAGATCTACAGCCACGATTAAAGAATCGGAAAAAGAGAAGTTACAATCCAATTATCTGGGAAAAAAAGTCGTTAAAAGTTTCTCATCAGATTCTCTTGTGCAACACGTTCACAACCTAGAACACCCTAGTGAAGACAAGTATAATGAATATAATATTGGAAATACAAGAGAAATAGATTATCAAATTATATTTCAATCCAATTCGAAAACCAAAGAGAACGAGATCAGCATTGAAAAACAAAAATCTATTAGTAGTGAACTTAAAAGCACATCATTACTTCGCCGGAGATTTCAAGCTTTACGCAAATCGCTAAGCAAAAAGGAAGATTCTAAGACAAACGAGTCCAAGTCGTCGATTCCTAGCATCCGCAGTGTAATTGGCAGTGTAAAAGATGCTTCCGTTACCTCTGATCCCCCATCGTTAGTAGGCAAATCTTATTTCAACCTTAAAACAAGTTTTAAAAATAGCCCTCATTCGTCTGATTCGACCCAACAATGTGATACAGAAATCTTAAAAGATCTCGAGGAATCATTGATGATAAAAAAAGACGACCCACTGCAATCATCTAAAGATAGTACGCCTGAAAAATATGAAGACACCCAGCATTCGCTTAAAGATAGTCGTATACCTGAAAAAAAAGAAGACGCCCAGCAACTACCAAAGTTACACGACAGTATGATTGTGGATAGTGAATACGGGCAAGGTGTCAAAGGTATGTTTAAGTTGTGGGGTAAGAAATTCAACTTAGAAGATGAGAGCCGTATCAATAATAAAAAGAGCGAATCACCAAAGTCTTCCTTCGCAAAGAAGAAAGAGAAGAAAGAAGTTCCATTGCCGAAACTGGACTCGTCAGCTTCACCACCTCACGGGGAAAAAAAAGAAGGGAAAAAGTTCTTTTTCTTCAAAAAGAAAAATAAACATAAAAAAGCGGAAAAAGCGAAGGACACTTACAAGAATAAGAAAGGAGTGACAACTGGGCGCTGCGAAGTCAGAGATGGCTTATTAATTAAATTTGGCGGAAACAGTCCACCTCCGTCAGTGGTTAAATCAAAGATAAACGTATCGAGAGAAATCGAAAGCTATGGGGAGATTATACGAAAGGATTGGCTACGGAAGTATATGGCAAATTCACCCATAGAGTCACAAAATAGTGTGAAAATCAGATGGAACAATAATACTTACGCAACAAGTAGCAGCACAATATTGGAACTAATGGAACACGTGTATAAAGGAACAGGAGTGACTTTGAAATCTAAAAGCGAAATCACTTCGTCTGTGGACGATACATGCATGTACAAAGCCTATACTAATCAAAATCAAAATTATGTCCAAGAAGTAGAAGCTTGGATGATACCACGAACAATTCCCGATCACCCTGTTATACTGAGAGATAACAAAATATTTTGTCCAGTAATGTTACGAGATAGACCTCTGTCAAACAGCGAGGATAACTTGAATCTCACGCTTTCAGATCGAAAATGGTTTATTGAGAAATCAAAAGCATTTGCTCACAAAATTAAAGTGGTGTTACATTCGAATAACATTATTGATTTAAAGAATCGTCACAGAAGTTCAGACTATTTGAGAATAGATATTCCTAAAGGCTTTTTCTCTGACACAAGTACTGACGATCCGCTGCTAACAACACAAACGAGTGACGAAGAGGTGTATAAAATAGTGGAATACGATAACTCTGATTCTATTACTCAAACTGCAAGAATTATAAAACCAACAAATACAGCACCTACACAAGAACCTATAATAGAATTAAAAAGTAGAGACCCTACTAATAAAAGACCTTATACAAACACACCTCAAGGGATGAAAAACACAGTGTCTCAAAAGGACGTACCTAAAACTCAAAGTATTCAAGTCGGTGAAAGAAAGTCTATAAACCCAAAACCTTGTTATACTTCTTTAGATTGTATTTTACCATATTTAACAAAACCTTGGGACACGGTGACAGAAAAGACTCCAGCATTTAGAGATGTCGTTATACAAGACAGTAACGTATATATTCCAAAGATTTGCGATGTTATTGGAGTCGGAATTATTACGCAGAGGGAGTTAAGAGATCCTCCAAAACCAATGTAAGTATTTTAGGAAATATTCTTCAATAACAAGCTGTAACGAAATATTGTCTAACTAAATTTGTTGCTGTCAATTTTCTTAAAAAAAATGGTATATGTGTAAATTGTACACGTTTAGTTTTATTTTTATTAATTATAATTATTTTATAAGGTGTATTATTTACATCCTTCAGTCACTTTATTTAAGTCGATGATCCAAATAATGATAATTCTTACAAAAAATACATTAGGTCTAAGAAAAATAATTAAGTACGTCTTTGTTACATACAGGGTGTCCCGGGACGCGACGTCAAGCCGGAACGGGGTGATAGGCCAGGTCATAACTGTTATCAGAAAAATAAAAAATAAAATCTATGTCATGTATTTTAAAAATTATGACCATTTTGAAAAAAATCGAAAAATATACACCCTGTGACGCATTTTCACTTCCCGTTTCTACAAATTTCCACTTTATTTTAATTTTTTTATTATTTTGTAACCCTGAGTAATGCTCCTGTAGCTAGTCGTCTAAAATTTTGACACAACTGCTCTAATTTTGAAAAAAAAATGACACATTATTCCCATATCAAAAGAGAAATTGAATTTTCGTTCAATTTCAACTCACTCTACCGAAAAAAAAAATGTACTACACTGGTTGGGCAAGTAGCTTTAAAAGTTGGCGCATTTTAAGAGGATTCCAAAATGGTATTACACTTGCTACTTTATTTCTTAGATTATGGTCAAATAATTTTTTTTGTGAACAAAACCGGTTTTCAACTATTTTTTATTTCTTAATTTAAATTTATTTAGTGTACCCAATCCTTCGCTCGGAACGGTAACTATGACATAATTCTTAACGGTAACTATGAGAGAGAGACGGAGAGAGCTATTCTACGAAGTGTGAGTGAGATAGAGAGTGACGCCGCTAATGTGTGAGATTCATAATTCTAGTATGAGAGAGACGGAGAGAGCTTTTCTACGAAGTGTGAGTGAGATAGAGAGTGACGCCGCTAATGTGTGAGACGGATAGATATTATTCGACTAGTGCGAGCACAATTCACAATAACGACAGTACGTTACGCTACTTCGTTTACTGCGCACCTTTCCGTATTCGTTCGTCTTGATTTCGTACTAACAACCTTTTGCTTCGTTTATTGGACCCCGATTGCTTTTGATTTGGATTTGGACTGTTTAGTTTCTCTTTTTTACGACCTTTGCTTTCCTCTGGACCACTGTGATTTTGTTGTGACACCATGTCCGTGTACACCGTACAGGAATATGCCAACATGCACCTCATTTATGGGGAATGCAGATGCAATGCTAGTGCTGCAGCTAGACTTTATCGTGAGAGGTACCCAAATGCTGCTCGTCATCCCGATCATCGAGTTTTTACGAATGTGCACCGTTTGCTCTCAGATGGACGATTCCCAGGCGAAGCGCATAGTGAAAGTAGAAGTTTCCATCATTACGAGGACGTCGTAATGGAAGCAGTGGAAGAAAACCCGAGTTCTTCGGTACGTGGAATTGAAGCAACTACAGGAGTGCCAAAAAGTGTAGCACACCGAATTTTACAATACAATAAACTCCACCCGTTCCATGTACAGAGAGTACAGTCATTACTTGAGCGCGATTATTCACCGAGAGTTGCATTTTGCCAAACAATGCTAGAGAGACACCGAGAAGATCCGCAATTCCTACAAAAAATTTTATGGTCTGATGAATCAACATTTAAAAAAGATGGTTACATGAACTTACATAACCTACACGAGTGGCATGTAGAAAATCCACATTTGATGAGACAAGACAGGTCACAATACCGCTTTAAAGTGAACATGTGGACAGGGATTTTAAATGGGAAAATCATTGGGCCCTATGAGTTGCCAGGGAACTTGGATAGCGAAATTTATTTAGATTTTCTACAAAATCAATTGCCAAATTTACTGGAAGACGTACCATTAAACATTTACAGAGATATGTGGTACCAGCAAGATGGCTGCCCGGCGCATTATGCCCGCTCAGTTAGAGCATACCTCGATGAGGAATACCCGGGCAGGTGGATAGGACGGTCTGGCACAATCTCGTGGCCAGCCCGTTCTCCAGATTTAAATCCACTCGATTTCTTTTACTGGGGAGCAATGAAAGAAAAAGTTTACCATAAACCAATAGAAGACTTGGCGGAGCTACGTGCGAGAATAGCAGAAGCAGGAGAATTTGTTAATAACGGAAGATTCGCCCGTTTAATATCCCGATCATTTCTCAAAAGATGTCGGGCGTGTATTGCAGCTGAAGGAAAGCATTTTGAACATTTGCTGTAATTTAAATAAAATCATAATTTTACTTAAATAGATTTTTTATTTAATGGAACTATCCTAAGCTCAAAGAAAAAAATAATGATGCCATTAATTTAAATTAGCGGCGTCACTCTCTATCTCACTCACACTTCGTAGAAAAGCTCTCTCCGTCTCTCTCATACTAGAATTATGAATCTCACACATTAGCGGCGTCACTCTCTATCTCACTCACACTTCGTAGAATAGCTCTCTCCGTCTCTCTCATAGTTACCGTTAAGAATTATGTCATAGTTACCGTTCCGAGCGAAGGATTGGGTACACTAAATAAATTTAAATTAAGAAATAAAAAATAGTTGAAAACCGGTTTTGTTCACAAAAAAAATTATTTGACCATAATCTAAGAAATAAAGTAGCAAGTGTAATACCATTTTGGAATCCTCTTAAAATGCGCCAACTTTTAAAGCTACTTGCCCAACCAGTGTAGTACATTTTTTTTCGGTAGAGTGAGTTGAAATTGAACGAAAATTCAATTTCTCTTTTGATATGGGAATAATGTGTCATTTTTTTTTCAAAATTAGAGCAGTTGTGTCAAAATTTTAGACGACTAGCTACAGGAGCATTACTCAGGGTTACAAAATAATAAAAAAATTAAAATAAAGTGGAAATTTGTAGAAACGGGAAGTGAAAATGCGTCACAGGGTGTATATTTTTCGATTTTTTTCAAAATGGTCATAATTTTTAAAATACATGACATAGATTTTATTTTTTATTTTTCTGATAACAGTTATGACCTGGCCTATCACCCCGTTCCGGCTTGACGTCGCGTCCCGGGACACCCTGTATATAACAGGGTATCAACAAACTGAATATTGTTAACACTGGTTAATTTTTGTAGTTATTTCGTAATTAAATTTCACTGCGTGATACAAAAATTGCAATAAGTATCGATGTGATAATATCTTTAATATATTTGTGAATAATTTTAGGTTCATACAGACAGTTCATATTATATTTACAGATTAAAACTCACCGAGTACTTGTCGGATGACGAATCAGACCCAAACACCCATAATACGAAGACGTGTGAACTGGCTGAGAAGTACCTACAAGAGTACTGTCGTAATTGGACGGGCATTGACACATTAAGAACATTCTCTCTTTGTGTTAGCGATTCTCACATAAAATGCTCCTCTGGCTCCAACAGCAATGGAACAAAGTCCTTGCCAGACATGGGCGATGATTACACTACATCATCGTGTTTGTCTTCCTGCAGCTTGGTGATAACCGAATTTCCTGACAGAATTGGCAATAATCTCGAAGGTCTAAATAAATCTTCAAGCAAATACTTGGAGTCCGATCATTTGTCATATCGCGTACTGCCAAAAGACTCCGTTGAAGTATTCAAAACAAGGAAAAAAAATGCTATGAGCAATAAAAGCAAGTGGATAAATGATAAACTTGAATCATCGTCGTACTTGGAGTATTCTGATCATATATTAGAAATAAGATCCTCGCTAGATTGTATTAGAAGGAGACGAAAGAAAACTACAACAAAACGAGTAATGATACCAGATGGTGATATAATGAATGAAATATTGACAAAATCCCATGCTCCTGCACATGGAATATTGAGCTATAGCGATATGACGACAAGAAATAATTTCGAAACAGTTGGCCATGTTAAAACACCCATTGTAGATGCGGGTTCCATACACGATAATTCACTACTACGTGACGTGTCTTGCTTGAAAGCTGGTCCAGAAGATCCGCCCATGCGTGGAGAGAATAAAAGACCGGACAGTTTTGTTGTAAAAAGTCCTCTAAACCTGCAGGTTTCTAGTAAAACGCAGGCGATGGAAATACCATCTACTATTGTTATAGACCTCGAGCGTGACGTCTCTCACAAAAGTTTGAATTTCCGGGACACGCCTAAGGCCAGTCAAGAACCGATCATACGAACTAAGTCCAACCAATCTCATGCAAGTAATAAGCTTGTTGAAGTTCACATCCCAAGTCCCAAGACGCAATCAAGTGCACATTACGAAACGATCGACGTCAAACTATGTAAATCACTATCTAATAACGGTTGCACTAAATTTAGGGGCAGATCTGTAGGTGACATTAATAAGAAACAATCTATAGTTACCCTATCCAAATCGAGATCTAAGATCAGTCAAAACACGCCCGAAATCAACGAATCAAAATCACTATCTGCTTCAGACGTCCCTAAATCAAAAAGACCAAGTAAAGTGTCTCTTTATCCTGTAGGATTCAAGCCGTCGAGAAGTGAGAGCCAAATGGTATTAAATACAATTAATCCCAATGCTCTTCCTAATTCTAGTCAGAAGGTAACACACGGAATCAAAACATTACCATCTAGCGCTACCATTATTCTCTCAAAACGACACACTAGTCTTTTACGATTCGCAGGACCATCACTAAACGTAAGTTCGACAAACATTATTATTGAAGGAAATTCATCCAAGAAATCGATCATAAAGCAGTCAAATCAGTTGAAACAGAATATATTACAAAGTAGCTGCGACAAATGCATTGTTAATAATGGCATAGATGAGTCGAAGCCGCCTAAAATTCCTGGCCGTAAAATCTCTGGTTCTTCTGACGCTTTATCACTTCATACTCCTATTTTTAAACATCGTCTCTCTTACCCGGAAACGAAAGAGACTATTGGTAACAGTTCACCTCACCATATCAGCAAACTGTCTGAATTCTTAAATTGGAATGTAGTCGATCCAGAGAGCCCTCCTGTGACCGTCATGGCGGAATCTGAAAATAAAAGCGATATAAAACCTATAGAGCCTAAAAAAGACGAAGAATCTGAAAAAGATAAAGAAATTAAAATAGACGAAACATCTAAAAAAGCCGAAGAACCTGGAAAAGATAAAGAAATTAAAAAAAACAAAGAATCTAAAAAGCAGAAGGAAAAAAAGACTGATGAAAAACCAAAAACTGCAACCCGCGGCCCTCTTGCTCATCCCCCTGCTGTATTGGTTCCGGGAAAATCACGTTGTGCGCCGTTAGTTAAATATGCAAATCCACCTCATTATAAACCCAATTCACCGTTAAGACCACAATCATCAGGGGGGCAACCCACCGTGCCAAGCACAGCACCAGGGGGGCAACCCGCTGTGGCAGGCACTGCTCCAGGGGGGCAACCCGCCGTGGCAGGCACTGCACCTAAGGGGCAACCCGCCGTGGCAGGCACTGCATCAGGGGGGCAACCCACCGTGGCAGGCACACCACCAGCACCAGGTACAACATCGGCACCTGGTGCAAAAGAAGCATCAAACATCAATTCACCCGCAGCACCAATACCAGGTTCACCGCCCGCACCAAGTGAATTAACCAAACCAGGTATACCACAGGTACCAGAGACATCACGAGCACAAGATGCTCCAATATCACTAGGAAATCCGGTATCTCCACCCCTGGAGGCACGTTACGCAAGAACAGATAAAGCAATGCAGTCTGGTTCGATGAGTCTACGGAACTCAATTACTCAAACCTACGATTACGAGGAGTTCCGTGGTACTACTTTGATTCCAGAACCAAGCCGAGATAAATATTTCTCTAGGTCACGACGAGAATTAAATCTATTTACACAGTCTACTTCACCGCAACCAGTCACACGCCAGTCTGCTTCGATCCTGTCTACAAATACAATTGCATTTCCTGTCTCGGGATCAGACAGTTCAGCAGTGGCATCTACAGAAGCAGCGCCACCAGTCAGGAAAGAGCCACTTCTCACAGACACTTCTGCAGAAAACGCAACTACAAAGGAAGTAGATTCTAGAGCTCCTGGAAAATCAAAACCTGCTTCAGATACCGCAGGTCTCACTAGACCACTAGAATCACCACTACAACTAATACGAACTTTGCAAATGTTGGAGCCAGTTGTCTCTGTTCGCATTCCATGCCCGCACCAGAAAGTTGATTCTCAAACACATCTTCCTTGTCCACATTCCCCAACCTGCAATCCTCCATGCAACATTCCTTGTTTCACACCCCCGGTACAAAAACCGGTAAAAGAAAAACCTAAAAAGGTCTCTCATTGCAAGTTAAAGCCATGTATAGATCTTGAAGCTTTAGAAATAGAAAAACTAGAACTAGAAAAAAAATTTAAAGCTCAATTTGCCAAAAAGACTCAATGTGTACCAAAAAGGTGTACCTCAATGTGCAGAACGCCGCCATGTTATAGACAGGAACCATCCAGATACGTACATACAGGAACCATAACACAACCAAAATGCGCTTCCTCGTGCAGAACATCATCATGCAATCCCAAATGTACAGATTTCCCTTGGGCTACCAAAATGCAAGTTTCTCAACAAGCCTCTTTAGCTTCCGTACACTTCGCTGATGGTTGGCAATCACAAGAGGACGATTATGATAATATACGAGAATACTACGGTACAGCATACAGCGATGACACCCAATGCGAGGTTTGTGGATTCTATAACGATGCCTGTATGCGTACTGATTTCGAAGAAAAAGTATTAAAAGTCGACAAAGGACTAAATTATAAACAAGTTCCTATTTATGAGCAAGGTCGCATATACGGGCGTTTAAAGCAGGGAGCAAGCTTAAACCTCAATAGTACACTTTTCCCTGGGTACGATTACAATCAGGATCCATATTATGAGTCAGGGCAAAATTGTGATTTTGGGTATGGATTAAATTACGAGCGGGTACAGCCAAGCTATGTAGCCTCGGCGTATGATCCCAATTGTGACCGACAATATGCAAATTATAGTCAGTATCAAAATTATGACTCTAAAATGTGTGAAGAATACTATGAGCAAAGTTCTTATCATTGTGGTCAAAATTTAAATAATAAACAATGCAATAATTACTATGATCACTGCCCAAACTACGAGCTGACTCATGATCAGATGCCAAGGTACGAGGATGCACAAACTTGTGATCAAACGCAAAATTGTCAGTATCATGGTTTCGACGATCAATCTGCGTCTGAAAATGTTGAAGAGGATGTCGAAAAATGTTATCCTTACTCAATAGGCGTCGACACAACGCGCCGCAAAACACGTGTCTACAAAGATAATTGCACCAAAAAATGTTCATTTAAACCGGAACCGAGTCAAACAGGAATCGAAATGCAAACCAAAAAAAAGATAAAAGAACCCAGATCATTGAATCCTGAATATGTAATACCTCAATTTAAACATCCCTGCAGTCCAATAGAGTTTGGTAAAGATGTGTGTCCACCGCCCGCTTGTCCGCCTGCAAAACAGTGCCCTTTTACATGCTCCAGTAGGGGCAAAATTTCTGGAATCCACTTGAGACAAGAACCTATTTTTGTACCAAAGAAAACCTGTGACCCCACCTGTAAAGCTTGGAATACTGTGGAACAAGCTACCAAAACAGACTTTTCAGTGTGGGGTGATCTTGGTCCAAAAGACCATGATCTAATTAAAATGAAATCTGTAAATGTCATTGTATCTCCAAGAGAACACCCGAGAGACTATAGAAAGATCATTGACCCTGACGGTGTAACTATTGTTGACAGAAAAGACTATGTTACACACCATAGTACTCCGGTGTTAAATAATGTGTTCGAAATGAAACATCCAATAACTGTGAACGACATGAGATCTGATGGAAAAATGTTGCCAGAAGCAAAAAAAGAAGATATTGAGACTAGCTTAACAAATATGTTTGAAATAAATTTCAATTTAAGAGTGACACGAGGAGATAAAACTACAGAGATAAGTATAGCTAATGAAGATGACACTAACAAAATTAAAACTCCTAAAGATTCTCGAGAATTAATTGCTATGAGAGGCGAGAGTCCTAAAGTTACTGAAGAAAACACGCCAAATGATATAAATATAAGAATAATGATAAAAAGCTATAAGCCTAAATCTGAAATTCCACTACGAGAATTGACCGTCAACGACTTTTCTAAGGAGATTTCCAAAAAGTTTCATACAGTTTCAACGGGTTCTAAATTGACAGGAACTGAAGAAATGGCTGATCATGTGTACTCTGTTCATAGAACTACATTAAATATAGCAGATACTACAGAGGCGTCCAAGAACGAAAGTGAAAATAAAGATCAAATCATCTCTCCTAAAATTGTGCTTAATCCCTGTAAAGTCACAGAAAAAGGCGACATTATGCTAGATAAGGAACCAAGACCGGTTGAAATAGAATCAAAATGTCTCCCGAAAATTGATCAACTCAATGACACAACCAGTGAAATTTGTGATACGCACCAAGAGGTAATGGTGAAATATTCTGACAAGGTAAGACAATCTGAAACGGCGGAAAACATAATAAAATACAAGGTAACAAGTTCAACAGCAAACTCTAGTTCGCTACAAAATATAGACTTGCACTCTATTCTCAAGGAGGATGATAGCTGCTTAAAATTAGGATCATCGCATATACAAGTAATTAGGCTATACAAATCTGATGCAAATATATGTGGAACTGACACTGATGTCAGTTCTTATAATAAAACGAGTACAGAACGTACAGATTATGATAATAAGGCCAGTGAGGACTATCTCAATCTCAAAACCAGCGACGAACCTGCTTTGGAAGACATTAAGCTTGCCCTAAAAACAAGCACAGAACCAACCTCAGAGTCACAGCAAGGAGTAGAAGAAGCTATTCTTCCAAAAGAGAGTAGGGAAATAAGACTAGGAAAAAAGGAGATGCTAAATGCGATCTTTGAAAAAGCATCATGCTTAAAGAAATCGAAGGGAAAAAATAGAATAAGAAAACTTAAAAAAATGTTGAAAGCGGTATTGACATCTGACAGTAGTGACCCTGACGATGTAACAACGTCAAGTAATTGTTTAGCTAAAGATTTTACTTACAAGAGTTTAAAAACAAATTTATTTAAAGATTCAGACAGTTTAAATAATTACTTAAAACTTTCTGGTAAAGAGAGCGTGGTTCAAGTTCAATGTAATACTGTTGAACCATCAAGTAACTGTAGTGGAGGTGATAGTGAGTGGTCTATTGACACAGGTGAGATCAAGACGACAAATCAATGCATTTGTAGTGCTGTAGCTGCGAGGCTTAAGAGCTACGATAATAACATGAATGACCTTGCTTGTTGTTGTCAGAAGAACTCAAAAGCTGATCAGCAAATCAGTTGCGATTTAATACCGCTGCTTGACGACGAGAGTTCAAGTGTAGAATGTGTAGATGTGGAAATTCAAAACAACTTTTTGAGCAGCAAAATTGTCATAAGTCAATCCGTCGAAATAGCAGCTCCATCGTCAAACTTCTTCCTAATTAACAACCCAATAGTAGCTCATGCTGAATCTGTATGTATAAGAAGTAAAGTGAATAAAGAAGAAAAAATTCGCGAAGTGAGAATAAAGAGATCCAAAATGTCATTAATGCAATCTGGAGATTTTAAAGACTACGATTTGAGAAAATATAATAAATCACCAAAATTGGGTATATCAGACGACGACAAAATTATATTTTTAGAAACGCAGCCCGTTACATTCCCAAACCTAGTCAAAGGTAGCAAAAGAAAAGAGAAAACGAGGCATTTAAATTGGCAACAGCCAGCGGATATTTTACAATTGTACGAAACAAAGAAAGCAGTATTGGAGATTTATACGGAAAAAACAGTGACCGAGGACGGTGAACGTCTTGTTGCAAAGCTTCCTAAATTCGTGTATGAAAAAGAAAGTGAGATATGTAAGAGCTACGAGAATAGTCAGAGTAAGTGTAAGGGTTTTAGAAGTTTATGTAAAACAAACATTGTGATGTCTATTGCTCGATAGAACTGTACCTACGTAAGATTTTGATATATTAATGCGAGTCCTTTTTTAGAAGATTTCTTAAATTATCTGTGTTCGTAGTAAGTTGTATTCGGTTCAGTAAATATATCCTGTCGTTGCTATATTGTTTTATTTCAAAATACCATTGTGTTGCAATGTTAATTCTGACGTTACATTACCTTTAAATTGCTTCGTGGTTTCACATTCAGATACATACTGGGGATCCAGCAAGCTAAGCATTAGCGCAGATAATGGACGTGTGTGTCCACTAAGTGTGTGCAGTACACCAAGTTTTAGGGAGTGATTTGGAATCCGGGATTTGGTTACCGGGAACCGAACCAGGAACCTCTTCCCATCCAGCGCCTACAGTGCAAACCGTTGGGCTACCGAAGCGTCAAATTCACGGCTTAGTTTATACATTGTACCTATAGTGTAATTAGAAATGCCTACTTACTTATTTACTTACTACTACTAACTGCCTCCGTGGTCGAACGGTTACCATGCCGGACTGCCACGCAGAGGTCCCAGGTTCGATTCCCGGGCCGGGAGAAATATTTGTATGGCCTACATTTATTTATCTCGCGAGTTTGGGTGTAATTTGTGGTTGTCTATGTGTGTGTCCATGGCATCCGCGACTCAGGGTTTCCCTAGTGCGGGGCTATGTTGAGTGTGTGCGTTATTTATTTATTATTATTACTGAGGTAGACAACTTTTAGAGTAATATCGACAGTTAAAAAGTAAAAATATCGTTAAAAATCAAAAACAAAGATGTGCAACAAGCACATAGATAAATTCGTCACTGGTTCGTACCGTTGCTTAGTTGGCATAACGTTTAGCACAGTTTGCTAGAAGACGTTGGTTCAAATCCAGCTGAATCGAAGGATTTTTTTTCTAAGTGTTCGATCTTTGTAATAATAACTATAACAAACTAATGGAGTAATTTCGCAAAAAATAATTGTTATCACGCTTATGAAACATCCTGACTAATAAAACTTTATTACAATGATTAAAGCGACATCTCTACTCAGTTACTGTTAGCTGTAAAGGTACCCTGCTGAGTGAAGAAATAGATTTCTCACAGATGGCGCTATAGCAAAAAGTCGTTAAAAACCAAAAATGAAGAACATAAAAAAATGGTAAGGTCCGCTAATTCGTTCTGTGGTTTAGTTGGAATAGCGTTTGCTAGAAGACGTAGGTTCGAATCCAAGCGTATCGAAGGATTTTTTTCTAAGCGTTCAATGTTTCTAATAATAATTACAGCAAATTAGCGGAGTTAAAACTTAATAACTATACAAATACTTTTATAAAGTATATAATATCATTGGTGTTTTCTAGCTATCACTGTATTTTGAAAAAGTTTTTAGGGGAGAATGTTTTAGGTTTTAACGACTGTTTTAAAATATTTACGTCCTGTTTTAAAAGAATTAGGCTAAAATGGGTCAATGCCATATAGAATCCTCTAGGTTAGGGAACTATAAAATGATTAAATTTACTGAGAGAAGTCCATTGTACAGAATGATTTATTACGGTAGTAAATTGTGGATGATATTAATAGAAAGTCCAACACATTCTTTTTACAAAACTTATTTGTCATGGCCCTTTTACCGTTTACCCTCGGTACATTGTACAATAAAATAAATACAATCTTATAAAAGAACATTCGCACCCCTCATGGAAGAATCACATAAATGGAGTTACGTAAAAAATGTTTATTGCTCCATTAGATACAGAAAAATATAAACTACATCCTCTCCATTGTAACTCTTATCGACTAATATTGTAGATAGACATACAATTACAAGAATTGCAGAGGATGTGGGCTATATTTTTCTGTATCTAATGGAGCAATAAACATTATTGCTGTAACTCCAATTATGCCATTCTTCCTTAAGGGGTGCGATCTAAAAGAACATGACTTGCTTAATTTAAAACTAATTAAAAAATGGTAAATATAACTTAAAAACCAGCAATAACTAACAAAAGGTACTCAATTTCATTAAAATTATTACAAAATCAGTAAGTTACTATAATAAATGCACACGCGGATAAAAATGTCAAATTCAAATACAAATTAGAACAAAAAATTAAAGCAATACAATAATTTCCTTTGGCATAATCGACTTAATTAAAATATTTTTTAATTAAAAATCATGGTGCCGTCTCAGGTCATAGTCTTGTCTGAAAAAGCAAAAGAATGTCATTTTAATTAATTTTTATTTTATTAAATCATTGATTTTATTCTTCATCTTGTCCCAAGGCAACGCGAGGTGGAGTAAATAGTAAAGAATATTATTTAATAAAATATATAAAAAAAAAATAAAAAAATCACTACACTTCGACATGAAATCGCATACCTAATCGCATACATAACCGCACCGTTCAGAAAAAAATTATAGAAAAAAAAAGGTTGTTGGAGCTTTTTCTGATCGGTTACAGCAAATTCTGCGTTAATTTGTGTGGTTATTCTGTTCAATTAAAAATTAAGCACACATAAACATGTAAGCACAATACAAACATTCACATAATAGGTACAACATAACACCAACAAACACATTTATGTTAACATTAAACAAACTGGCTAAAAGCTCTTTAGTTATTGACATTTGGTGATTTGTAATCATCGAGTATATGAGCACAAATAGAGACGAAATGTCATTTAATTTGTTTGAAAACTATTCTGCCAAATCATTACTGTGACAACTGCGCTCGGCTTGGCCAGCCCGAATTCGAAACAGTTGACGGGTCAGATCGACCAGTTTAACTTGAGCTTTGCTATAATGGACGAAAATTGAAAAATTACAAATATGTAATATTTAATTACCGCTGAAATGTGATTCCGTTTGATTTTAATGAGATGATTTTCCTACACCACCGAATAGAACCACCCCCCAGTTAGAGATATTATCTTTATTACAATAAATATAGAATATTTTTGGAATATACGGAGACACACGGGTCAGTTGTGGGCGTTGTACTATTTCAGCTTCCAATTTGTGATTTCAGTGCAAACGAGAGTTGGTATTTAAAAGTGATATAAGACCCATTTGTCTGATGAGTTGCCAGTGACGGATTAAGATTGAATTAAAATTAAGAAAATATAATTATTCATTTACTTTATTACTTAAAATTGGGAGATAATATTCTAATATGGGAATCTTGTAGACCTCTTTTTCAAAGATTAGGCATATTAATTTTAACAGATGTACACATCCATACTTGAGTCATGAAAATTTACTAGAAATTATCCCACTTTATTTACTCCAAAAATTGAATTCGAACGTACCTACGTAGACGTACATTAATTAACTATAACTTTATTATTCAAATCTCATGAATTAATTTATTTAGGAAGCAGATGGCGTGACTTGAAACTTTGTAAAAAATCACTGTGAAAAATGAAATTGTTGAGTATTTAACTGAGCAACGCTTACGCTTAGAATGATAAGCGTGCTTATTTATGGGCTTATATTAAAAAGCAAACTTTTTTAAGTGCTTTTCGTTTAACGCCGACCTTTAATTGTACAAAAATTAGTAGTCGCATGGTTGCAGCGCCACAGGGGTGCAACTGCAGCGCTTCTAAAAGCGTCTAATTGGAAGACGCCCTTAAGTGTCGATCTGGGGCCTTACCGTGACCTCTTATTACAGTTCAGTATAGGTTCGTAGCGACAAAAAGGCGGGATGGTGATATACACTTCATGTAGCGCTGTCTCACAACGATTCATTTTCTATCTTAAACTGAATCGTAATAAGAGTTCATGCTAAAGCCTGCTTTCAAGATTGCTACAAAATCATTAAACATTTTACAATTTTTTCGCATCAAAACCCCCTATTTTTTGTTAATCATCATCAATCAATGACATCTAATATTAATGCGTTTGAACCATTTTCTGGAATAACGGAATATGTTCTTTGGTGAATTAAAAATAAGGTATATAATATTAAATTATTTTGTAATTATAGTTCAGAATAGAGTGGTTTGCATTAATATTAGACTGGTTGATAACAAATACCGTAACATCATCTCAGTCAGCGGTGACTTATAAAGAGGCATAAACGTTAGCTTGTTTGAATAAACAAATAGACGCGATGACCCTGTACAAATGCGCATTTCCCTAGCGTAACAGTTTTTGTTACTTTGATGTATGTTTAAACTACGATTTAAAAGTACACAGGAGCGTTGATCTTCTTTATAATGAAAGTAAATGTTTTCTTATTGTAAAAAAGAAAAACTTTACACACATTTTCATGTTCAAGTCATTAAACTAATCAATCAAAAACAACCATAAAACTGAGATATTATAAATCGAATTTTGACTTCGACTAAACAAAGATGGCGAGCTAAGCAAGTTATACGTATTTATAAAACAAACATTAAAAGTTACTTCGTAATTTCTTGCTTAAAAGTATAACTTACACACGAATTTAGCCTACTAGGCTAAGTTCGTTTTGTAAGTTCGAAACACGTGCTTAACTCGTAATTTTTGTTTAGTCTTAGTCAAAGTTCGTTTTATAAGTCTCAAGCTAAGACCTTATCATCTATCAGTCAAATAATTAGACTATAGAGTTGCTTTTTTAAATAAGTTCGAGCAAAAAATTTGTTTATGAATTCATAAAAAAAACTACAAATATTTATTTTCATTTGCGTATTTATTTAAATACTTATTTGAGGGATATTCATAAATTAAGTACGCTTACACACTAAATCGGTGAATTTTATAAATAATACACAACACTGTACATTTTATTACATAATAGGCAACAAATTTCATTACAAATTGCTAAAAATACTAAACGGGCATACTAAACTTCACTTTTTTTATTATGGACACAAGTTCCGTGAATCGTTATTGATAATTCAAAAGAATAGCCTAATTTAAAGGGCACCATTCAAGCGCGATAAACAACTTTTAGAGAAATGTCGAAAAACACGGCGGATGTCAATTACAAATAGATATAAGCGATCGGAGAGGCAGTAAAAAAATTCGAGATATGGTAAAAACAACTATGGTAATGTATGATTATAATTATTCTCTTTATAATATGGAAAATTGATAGAAATTGTTTATTATTTTGACGACCTCGGTGGCCGAATGATTTAATGTGGGCGCTGGATGCGGAGGTCCCGAGTTCGATGTCCGGTAGGACAAATTTAGGAAATGGACTTTCTAAATAGGTTCTGGTCTGGGTGTTTTTAGGAAGTGCCCCAGAGTTAATTCCATTGCTCTGGTACTCAAGGTAAAGGGAGGTGTGGTTATGACACAATTATTGTTTTAATATTGAGATGACGCAGCGAAGCGTTTTTAACTCCAGATGCAAAAAGTTTCAAGTCTTTGGCTTATTTTATCTGTAGCATTGTAGCTCCTAAACGCATTTCCATAGTCTAGTTGATCTCTAAGCGATGTTTTTTTAAAGTTTGAAGTCTTGTGATCGGGAGCTTTGTGTGAGCTCAGGGCTCCGTCACTCGCTCGAGGTTACGCGTTAAGTGATAGTGATACCTCGGACTGTACCGACGTCGACACAAGCGCTCAAACAAGTGTTTCATTTATGAACATTCGGCTCCGCACCGAGTTATCCATTATTTTTAGTTAATATGTCTGAGTCTCACGGTGGTTTTCTATTTAGAACTATGAATGTTTGAAATTTTACTGTTTCATTGTTGGACATGTGACCCTACATACTAAAAAAAAACATACAGTCGAACGAGAACCTCCTCCTTTGGAAGTCGGTTAAAAATAGAGATTTCAAAGAAAGGTTCAGCACAAAAGGTCGAGCTTTATGTGACCCGTGTCTGTGCATAATTATTTTTAATATTAAAAACAAAAATAGAAAATAATTATATGAAACAAAAAAAAAGTGACAATGGTAACGCCGCAAGAAATCGAAATGAGGGTAGATAGATATGTTTTTGAAGCTGTCATCTGCCGCTGGCCAGGCAACCCGTGACCATAGGCTGTGTAATTGTTCCAAAAAATCGAACCGTGTTATGAAACTTGACTTTTTACTTATTTTGGGGCTTTGATCATTATCTAACATGTCAGCTCCATTAAAATACAATACACCAAGAAAACACATAATAAAATCCAGAGATAAATCAACATACTACCTAACCAAACATGTATATTATACAAAATCTTCGCGGATTACATGTTGGCTCCGGCAAGACGGATTCAAACCACCCGACGTTAAATGTACCTACTCAAACCAACCCGTGTTATTAATAAGTGATAATCATATAATTAGTTTATTTATTAATTTGTGATGTAGTTTGTTTATGTATCTTATTTATTTAAGTATTTTTTTGAGTATTAACGTCTAATGCATTAGGAAGATATAGGAAGATTATTGCGGTTTAATTAAATGATTATAGAGCAGAAAAAACCGGGCCCGCATTTTTATTACTTTGTCTACCGAATTATTCTTAAAAATAATAATACTTACGTAAATAACATACTACATTAATAAAAGATTATATTAAATTTGCATTATTAAATTCGACTACTTATGACACTAAAAATAATAAATAATTGAGTAAATTGTGACAGTACATCAATTTATTATTATTTTATATTAAAAAATGCTGCAAATTCAGATCTAAAACATCAGTCTGTTTTTATTAAGATTGTTTTATAATGTAATTAAAATTCAAAATAAATTAAAAATATTTCATTTCCAGCCCGTCACAAATGATACCAAATTAAAAATATGTTACAATATAATTATGGTTAATTAAACACATAATTTCATTACAAATAATAAATAAAGAAATAACATTGTAGCATATTAAAAAAAACTGCAGTATTTTTGTGTTTTCAAGTACATTAACACAAATACAATACAAATGACAATTGTTTTGGCTTTTCAGGAATACATTTCTACTAAATACGTGATCAACTGGCAATTTTAACAATCATTACTATATTTTTCTAACATGTACATATGTCCCAAAATTAATATTATGATTTCGGGGATACGGGGTTTACTAAAATACTTTTTCAAATTTCCTGTCCCTATGCAGGATTATACAGAGAGCATGACGCAAAAACTAATTTTGTCGCATTAAACAAAATTAGTTTTTCTACTAGGGTATTAAACACACATATTTAATACACAATTTCCCCAAAAAAATTAAATCAGTACAGAAATTATTTATTCATTTTGGGACTTAGACATTTATTTACTTACGTATGTAGCTGCGGTTATGTCATGTAAAGAAAGCTACAAACACCGTATATATTTAACTACTAAAATAAATAACCTTATTTGCCTAAACTAAAAGGAAATCAATGTTTGTACAAAAGTTACATACATTAATACGTTTTAGAGATTCTATATTTTAGTTACCGCCGTTTCTTATTTCTTTAATTATGAATTCGATTAAATAGTACACAATGCTCACTTAATTAATCAAATTGCAAATAACTTAATGAAATTGCAATTTGATTTTTACAATTGCAAAATTTGATAAATATTTTATTAATTCTAAATGATTTTTATAATTGCACATATTGTTTACATAAAATAAAATTGTAAATTAACAATATTTTTCTTCACAATGCATCTGTTGGTGGACTTCGTACGTTGATATTGTTATGTTCGAAGTTTGCGAGGCAAGATGGGTCACTTCTACCTGTCACAAAAAAATTACTTTTTTAGAAAGATAAAAGTTTATTTTTGCTATAGTATCATTCTCATGGGGTTCGTAAATTACAAAGCCAGTAAAAGTTTTAATGTAATACAGTGTCTGACTTTTTGTTTAAGGAACTAAAATTGTAGTTTGTGTAGTTTTCAGTGTTGAATTTTACACTTTACCTACAATTTTATTTATTAATTATTATGTTTTATTCTTGGTGGACTAGTTACATAAACATTTAAATTAATAAATAAATTTAATTCAATTATTTTTGATAAAATTAAACAAACTTAACACTTACCTTATCTTAGTGGCAAAAATTAAAAGCCATTCAAGTTTTGTAAGCTCAAAGCGAATGTTTTCCAGGTTAGACTTTAAACAATATATCTTTTTTATAGATGGTATGAGTGCGTGGTTATTTTGAAAATAGATGTCACGGCCTTACTACGTCGTAGATATAGATATACATCGTCGCGACGATGTAGTCCTTATTAAACCTGAGAGCAACATACTTAAATTAGGTCAGTGAATTCCTTTTACCCACACCCGTCTTTCTCTTGCAAAATTGGTTAACATCTCATAAAAAAACTCCAACTTGTCTGTAACTGTCACTAAATTTTGTAGATTTTTTTTTATGATATCAAGTGACGGAACGAACAAGTCGTGCGACTGGCGATAAGTGACACGCCTTGACAATTGCAGTGGCACTCAGAGCTTTAAATCGCAAATATTTGAGGGGCACTGCCACTGTGTCCGTCATCCTGAGACATAAGTCCCGTGTGCCTGTAATTTCACCAGCACCCTTATCCTTCAAAATCGGAACACAGTAATGGTCACATTCCGCTTGGCGGCAGAAATAGATAAGGTTTCCCAAGAAGCTCTTCTGCTACTAATTACATAAAATATTTATAGAAAAAATTATACAAATTCTGCGTGATTTGTAATTTTAGACACAAAACTTTAAATAGTAGTACATCGTCGCCTGACTTTCTCAAATTCGTATCTTAAAGTACAAAGTTACTGAAATGCAAAAAATGGATTGTATATGTATATCACATTTCCTTCATATTCACAGACTAGCTTTTGCCTACTGTTTTTGAGGTTTTTCAAAATTTTCTCACTAGATGTCGTATAGAATTTCGACGACTCGGTTACTGGACCCATGGCTCAGATGGTGAGAGCAATGCGACGGTGCAGCACGGACGTGGGTTAAGTCACACCAGGTTGACGAAAAAAATTTTCTATGTCCGATCTTTATATTCAATACTTATATTTTTACTATTTATACTTTTATATTTAAATACGATTTTATTTTATTCGTAATCATAACAAAACTAGTGGACTTATTTCACATTAAATCTCAATAAATACTTTATTTTTAAAAGTAAACAATACTGCAATCAAAGACTTTTAAAAAGTCGTTTGCCCCAACTGGGAATGCCGACCAAATGTAAAAATGAATGCCGATCGTAAGGTTCAATTACAAGGATTAATTCTATAAACAAATTTTCTTCAAATGTTTATTCTACATTTCGTTTGCCTTAAATAGATAACAACAACAAAATATACAATATCGATATAATAGTAACAACGACATTAATAAAACTGTTCTTTTTTTTACATATCAGATTACGTTTTTGTGAGTGGTGTCTGATTCAATGAATTGATATTGGTATATAAGTTAAAATGGGAAACCAAAATGAATTTGTGTGAATTTTCAAAAGTAGAGTACAGTTAGTTGTATTCTTGAATACAACAAGTGAGCCATTCGCATATCCATAACAACCTCAAGTAACAATATCCTGAGACAACTCTCAACTTTTTCCTATAGTTACAAGAGCACGACATCCTAACCAACTACACCAAACAAATGTAAAACGTCACTATCTGAGAAGAGTATAATCGCAATGGCACCAAAATCTACAATAAATTTCCATTACAGTCGAGGCAGAATTGAAATTTCGCAGAATTTAAACGCACATTAATTGAGTATTTAATTGAATTATTATCTTAATTAAATTACTTTTGTTTTGATGTCCTTTTTTTTTTTTTTTTTTTTAACAATGTCCTAACTATTGTCGATTTTAAGACTTTGTTTTTCGCTGTCCTGTGAAGGTGGAAGGCTATAATCAGTGATTTATGACTATTCTTAACGATTATTATTATTTTATTATTATTATTTGGAAGTATTGGACAAGTATAACTAATAATAACAGTATAATTCGTATGCCTTGATGGTACGTCATGGCGAACATAAAATGTTAACATCTTTAATGTACCCATGATGACGAATAAAATTATTTGATTTGATGTGAACGTTAACAAGTCCCATCCTATAGTTTCACCTACACCCTTCAAAACTGGAAAGCATTAATGCTCACAATACTGCTTGAAGGAAGAAATAGGTAAGCTGTACCTATTCATGAGTGTAACAATTCATATTTATCGAGTTCTTAGGTTCTCGCGATTGTTATAGATAGTAAATGAAACTATTTTTCCGGATTTAAATTTCTCAGTTCCCTTACAAGATCCAGGAGTTTACAAGCTTCACTGTGAGTGCGGTCTCTCTTATATTGGACAAACGAAGTGAAGTATTTGTACTCCCGTCAAAGAACATATAGCTGATGTCTGCAGTCTGCGAGCACGTCATGGATAAACCTACGCATTCAATGAAGTTTGACAAACCCCAGATCCTTGCAAAAGAAGTCCGTTATCTACCCAGAATGCTGCGAGAGGCCATTGAAATTAAAAAAAAATCCTAATTACAACAGGGAAAATGGTTTCTCCGTACCACAGTTTGGGATCCAGTATTTCCTCTGATGAAAAATCCCAAAGAGACATAAGACTGCAGTGCTAATTAATATGGTTTAATTTATTCTAATTTCCATTATTTTTTATTGAACTTAATAAAAATTCATATTGTTAAACTTAAAATAAAATAATTTGTAAAATATAATGTAGCGTAAATTGGAATGTTTTTTTGTAAAATTAAATAAAAGGTATTTAATTAATAACTTTTGTAACTATAGTGAAAAAATAGGGTGGTTTGCATTAATATAAGATATAACTGGTTGATGACTGTACCACCTCAGTCAACCGTGACTATGGGAACTATAAAGGGCCCGAAACGTTGCGTTTGTTTGAAAAAACAAATATACGCGATTTAAATCCGGGATATTAGTTTCATTTCCTAAGTCATATTTATTTTTTAGTTGTATTCATTTACAATTAACAATACAGTTTACAATTTATGTAAGTATTTATGTAAGTTTTGAAAATTCACACATTTTTAAATAAATCTACTTTAGCTTTCAACAACAAGGTGCAATAGTATTAAGAAGGGTTTTAATCTCAGAGTATTATTTTGCATCTTCACATAGCGAATGTATTTCTTGTCTAAGTCACATAAAGGCTATTTTCGTATACCCTTGTGAATAAGTACCAAAAGTAGTATATCAATTTTAGATTAATTGAGGATCCCATTTATTACATTCATCGAAATTGGGCTAAAAATGCTAATTTCATATAATACACCTCCGGTCAAACAGAGGCTTAACCTAAATTTGGAAAAAGTTATAGAAAATGAGTTAAAAGTTTAATTTTTTGTTTTTAAGGCTAAGCTGAGCACATTTGAAGGGCTCGTAGGGCCAGCATAAATTAACGAACGGCGCGGCGGGGGAGAGCATCGTAGAGGATCTTATGGCCACCCACCACACACTTTGACCCACGAGCGTACCACAGTCGATGGAATGCCGCGGCATCTGCCGACATGACACTAGCGAGTACACAGTCGAAATTTCCCTGGCTTATTCAGGCCATAGACTTTAAATGGGAAGCAGACCAAACATAATATGCCTCCGTGGTCGAACGGTTACCATGTTAGACTGCCACGCAAAGATCCCGGGTTCGATTCCCGGGTCGGAAGAAATATTTGTATGTTTATTTATTTCTCTCGTAAGTTTGGGTGTAATTTGTGGTTGTCTATCTATGTGTGTGTCCATGGCATCCGTGATACAGGGTTTCCCTAGTGCGGGGCTATGAGTGTTGCGTTATTATTATTATTATTAATATTAACTACAATATTGGTCGATAGAGTTACAAGAATTGTAGAGGATGTGGGTGTATGTTTTGCTGTATCTACTGGAGCGATCGTTTTTGATGTAACTCCACTTATGCCATTCTTCCATGAGTGGTACAATATGATTTGTTTTTAATTCTTTTTATTTTATGTAATAATTTGAATCAGGCAACTATATTTTTAAAATTCTAACAACCCCTCAGGACTATATTACCAAAATCATAAACAACAACTTTTGGTCCATGACTTTTAATAATTCATCATATTTTACTTTCATACAAACACAAATAGATTTAAATTGATCGTTCTAACGGCAATAAGTCTGTGCAGTACGGGGGTGGGAGGCGACGCGCGGAGTAACTTATTCTACCAAATATAGATCTAAAAAGTGTCATAGATAGTGCAACGAAAATTTAAAAGTTTATTTTGGTTAAAAATATTGTGTTTTGTGAAAAGTCATGAAACTAAATTTGTTTGTACAAACAAAAAAGACTAAGTTTGCACATCTAGTATTTTTAAATAACCCCTATATAAGTATCTTATGGACTAATATATATATAATATAAAAAGTAATAAACTTGTCGGCAACATGAGGCGCAATCCTTTTTTTATTTATCAATAAAACTTATTTTCTCTTGTGCTGATATGGATCAAATATTTTAATAAGATGGACACACCGGCCGCTTTAAAAAATGGCGTCTGCCATGGATTTACGGCTTTGTGTGTGTCGGTAAACAAGTGAAAAAAGAAATAGATAATACGTTTTGTTTTTGGTAGGAAAAGAATACTGTAACTATAATATGTGTGAAATTATGTTTAGTCTGGTTCTCATTTATAAGTCTGTCATTTAGACATTCATTCGTCACGGCACACATATGTGGATTCCGTTTTTTTTATGTCTCTACTTTGCCGTAGGTGC